TTCTGTCTTCTAACTCACAGATTCTTTCTTCTGCTTGACCTCTTCTGTTGATGCTCTCTATTGCATTTTCTTTTTCATTCCATTTATTGTATTCTTCATCTCCAGAATTTCTGTTTGGTTCTTTTTTATGATTTTTATCTCTATGTTAAACTTCTCATTTTTTTCATGTATTGTTTTCTCGATTTCATTGTACTGTTTTCTGTGTTCTCATTGATATTTTGAATTCCTTATTGGGTAAATCACAGATCTCCTTGTCTTAGTATCATTTACTGGAAGGTTATTTTGATCCTTTGGTGGTGTCATGTTTCCTTGATTTTTTGTTTTCCTTGAAGTCCGGAATTACTGTCTTTATATTTGAAGTAGCAGCTACCTACTCCAGTCTTTACTGACTTAAGAAGAGAAATATCTTCCATCAGTCTTGCTAGGGGTTCTGAGGCTTTCTCAGACCTTGTAAGGAAATGCCTGCACTGTGCTTCTTGTTCCTTCTTGTGGAAGAATTCTTAAGCTTGTATGTAGGCTTTCTCTAGATCTTACAACACACCAGGCTGGGTGCAGACAACCTCCCTTTTGCTGTCCCAAGGGTAGAGCTAAAACTCAAGTTTGTGTCTCTTCTTGGCCTGCAGATTTGAGCCAGCTTTCCCCACTATTCACTAGTAGTTTGCTGAAGCTCACTCTTACTGCCATCAGTAGTATGCACAGGAGCTTACCATGGTGTGGGGGCTGTGGGGATAAGATTCACAGAGTGTTGGGAGTGTCTGTTGTTCATTTCGGGGGATCCACTAGTGAGAGATCCCCAGTGGCTTATGGGTGGGCTTCTTGCTGCAGTCCATGACAAAGTTAGTAGGAGGATCTGTGCCCCTTTATTGGCCTCCAAGAGTCCTATCTGTCACTCTCCCAGCCTCTTCCTACCCCCAGTTATGCAACTCATGACTCAGTACTTTGTGGAGTGAGAGAGAAATGGTTCTCTTGGGCAGCATCCTGAACAGCTGGAGAGGCCAGGCAGTCACTCACACTCTCTTATCTTCTCCATGGGAGAAATCACAGGTTGAGAAGGTTTCTGTTGGCACTGAACTATGCCACCTTGGGGGAGGGGTGATGCAGGTGAAGTCAGTCTGTTCCTCTTACCTTCTCTGTTGCCTCCAAACTTGTATTTCTTTGCTCCAATGGTATGTTGGAACTTCTGTGCTGGAAACCTGGACTTCCACAGAGACTGTCTTGTCTGTGGGTCTCGTCTTGTTCAAGACGGTGTTCTCCAAGGGCTCCTGGACCATGGCTCAGTGGGGCTAGAGCCAGTTCACAGGCCATTACAGGGCCCCTAGTCTGGGCCGAGGTCTGTAAGCCTGTTATCTGATGCACAAGTTGGTGACACTCCTCCTGGATTCCTTAGTGTAGGATGGTGGATCCTATAGCTTCCACAAAGGCACTTTTGTCCAGGGATAAATGCCAATTGTTGTTCAGAGAGGGATACAAACAAGAGATGTCTTATTAAGCCATGTTTCTGATGTCACTCCTCAAGTGTGCTCCTATTTCCCGATTAACAACTTCACTTTACTAAGTCATATCCTTAACAAACTTCCAATAAAACTATGTGTGGTAGGTACATTTTATATCCTTTCATGCCTAACAGTATTTTTATTCTTCATGCCTGATTGTGATTTTGAAAAGGTATATGTTTATTAATAGAAAAAAACTTTCCTTTAGAACTTCAAAGCTTTCTTTATTAACTTAATGATAGAATTATCTGGCAGTCTGACTTTGTCTGTTCTAAGTTTGTTTTGTTTTCTCCTACTGGGATAATTTATGATTTTCCTTTAACCCTTGAGGTTCTGAAATTTTTAAAATGATGTATTTAGTGATGGTCTTTTTTCATTAATTTTGCTAAATATCTGAAAGTCTCATTCTATGTAAAGAATTGTGTCTATTGTATCTGGAAAACTTCCCCTTACTATTTGTTTTGGTAATTTTCCCTTTTATTTCTCTGTTTCTCTCTCTAGCTCTGTTGCTTGATGTTGGGTTTCCTGGGTCTATTCTCTGTGTCTTATCTTTTCTAACATATATTACATTTCTTTGTCTTCTTTTCTCATTTCAGGGAGATTTTCATAATTTAATTTTCCAAACTTTCTGTTAAATTTTTGATTCTTTTTAGCCTTCCTATAATTACTTTTATAGATGCAATATCTTTTCACTAAGGATTCTAAATAGAAAACCTTTTTTATTAACTAAAAACAAATGATTACTCTTATTTTTTGGAATTAATTTTAATTCTGCCATTTTAAAATTATGTGAACACTTTATAAATGAATCCTTTAATAAAATTCAACAATTATTAAATTTTTTTTCCTTAGTACTTCATGGGGAAGGAGTCTGAGTAGGACAGCACTTGTATACTTCTTCGTCACTGGCCATAATGCCATTCAGTATAATTCTCATAGTACAATAACGTACATACATATACAAACACACACACGTACAGATACACTACCTCCAAAATGCTAGATTCTTACCCCATGAATCATTGGAATTTACATAAAACTTATTTGAAATACTATTGTCGAAAACTTTTCTCAGCACATTTGCGCATTTTCAGATGACCTACATTTTTTTCATACTAAAATTTGTATTTTATACATTTTGGATCATAATAGCTGGTTTTTTGCTTTATTTTTTTAACACACTTTATTTAAAAACAGTTTTAGGTTCACAGCTAAATTGAGCAGAAGGTAAAAAGATTTTCCATATCCCCCTGCCCTCATCATGCATAGCCTCCCCAGTTATCCACATTCTTCACCAGAGTGGTACATTTGTTACAATTGATGAACCTACATTGACACATCATCACCTAAAGCCCATAGTTAACATTAAGGTTCACTCTTGGTGTTGTGCATTCTATGGGTTTGGACACATGTATAATGACATGTATCCACCATTATAGAGTTATATCATACAGAGTAAATTCACTACCCTAAAAATACTTTGTGTTCTCTTACCTGAATTTTAATGGTCATCTCTGGTTCAGATTGCCTGCATTTAGTAGTTCGTAATCTGCATTTTTAATTATTCTTTTACTTTTACATCATAGGTAGCTTTTTCTCCTTGAATTTTCCATACCTCCTCCCCAGAGCAGATATGCAAAAAGATCTGTTGCATATGACATAACTTGGCTAAAAATTTATGGGCCATATTGAGGGGACATATATTTTATTAGAAAATAAAAGCCGAAATCATATATTACCCAACTTCTTACCCTAAGAATTCTCTTAGCAACCCCTTCATGAATGATATATCGCTGACCACTATATCTGTTTTCTCAGTTTAGCTCAATCTTTGCCTTTCTCATTCGAGAGAGGAAAATAATTCTGCAATTAACATATGAAAAGAAATTCATCCATAGCTCCTTGTTTGAATCTCCTAGATCATTAAAGGCCTCAGAAAAATAAAAGTGACCTTTTAAAATATGATTCACTCTTTTAAATAAATTAATTATGGATTTAATTAGCAATGTTTTCTTATGTATTTGTATACTATCTATAAGGCACTGCTTATATATTGAGATTATTCAGATTCTCTCAGTAAATCATTAAAGAAAGTATTATGACTCCTGTATTATGGATGAGAAAAATATGGCTCAGAAATGTTAGATACTTTACCCAGTGTTATAAAGTTTAAAATACTAGCTATAAACTGCTGAGTCCTGGATTAGGATATAGAGCTCTTTGCATCAAATTATCTGTAGCAATTATTCTGTTAATATTTTGTCTTTTTTATCAGTTACCTTTTAAGCTCACTAATGCAGATGGCATAGACAGGGTCAGCCTTGTGCATTCCATAACGCCATCCTAGATGCAATGTATAGACACAATATTTGCAGAATGGAAAGACTGAGGCAATGTGCTTAAAACAATTTCAAAGGGCGAAATGAGTCCAACTCAAGTCACATATACTCTCAAGAGTATGTCTTGGACACACTCAGGAGAACCGAGAATCCCATCTGTTAATCCATTTCCTCTGCAAGAGTTTCCACTAGGAGACAGTGAATCTAGAGGAAGATCAGCACCCATAGCTCCTGCTACATTATCTCAACAATGTCCCTCCTGGGATTTCTCTCTCATAGGCTTCCGCTTTTCTTAACCAGGAGAGGTGAGGGGTGGGGGGCAGGGGATGTGGGGTATTTTTCTGTTTCCCAGTGCATACAATGCACAGGGATTCGGTGAGCTTGACTTAGGGTTATCTGCCTAGAAACACCCTGCAGTAATATTCATTCTACTGTCCTCGGCATGCCATGCCATAGTGGCACAGGAAAATCTATGTGATTACCTAGCAGGGCTTCACCTAGGGGGTGAGGTAAACCTTTGTTCCAGGGACCCTAAATATATCTGTGGTTTTTTACTGCCATCCCTTTTCCCATTGTTACTAATGCTAAGTAAGGATGAAGTATTGGTCCTCCTCAGAAACCTGCATTATTGTCTTATTCTCATACTCTCCTAACTGACTTTCATTTCTTTCCCTGCATAGAGAATTCTTATCGCAACAGTGAGTAGAAGAGGAGAAAGCTTCTACTATCATCATTTGTTCTTCACACAGTTAATGTTTTGGAAACAAATGTTGACTTTGGTACCAAAGTTTTGACTTTTGGTACTTTTAAGGTTCAAAATTCCTTTCCCCTAACTTATTTCTGTCATAGCTTTTAAAGGTTATATTAAAATGAAGACAGACATTTCCTGGTTTTTGTATTTATGTTATAACAAATATACACCAAGGGCTTAGGGTTTGTTTTTGGGGTAAGGAGTGGCCATGGCCAAGGGTGGGAACACAAGGAAGAGAGAAATATTAACCTCAGCTAAGATATCCAAATATTATCAGTTTATACTTGGTTGCTCCTATGGAATTGGTCCTGAAACATGATCTGGAAAGTAAGAGTAATTGGGCCTGAAACATAAGGGGTGATGGTTCTAGTTGACCCTGAGATGAAAAACAGGAAAAATTTTAATAAAAGATCTCATAAAGGGAAATTTATTTCTTCCATGGAGATGTTAGATCAGGGTAAGTAGGGATTAGGTAACTGGATGGAATATCCCAGGGATCCCATAGTAGATAACAATTGAGAAGAGAAAAAAAAAAAATCAGGCAGTCGGGGGAGAATTCCGAAGGGTATGTGAGCTCTCAGGGGATACAGCACCTTAAGTCCCAGAGAAGAGGTGAGAGGAGGAATGTTGAAGAAAGGAAAGAATATGATGAACTGGACCAGAAAATAGTGCTAAGTCATCTAGCACATCCACTCTTCTGCTCTTGTAGATGGGAAATGTACCTGCAATAGGGCAGACATAAGGTTGTTGGGTCCTATGGTACTCCTGTGCCATCATCATGCCCTTTCCCAATTCTCCTATTTTTCAACCACATTTGTGTTCACAACTTCCTCCCACTTTCTTTCCTCTTGTACTATGTCTACAACTCCCAGTTGTGACAAATCTGAATCCTTACCTTCCCTTCTAGGGTGTTGCTTACAAGGCCCCTTGGTGTCTGGAGATACCACCTGAGCGCAGGCCACGGATGATGAGGAAGGTGCCCACCACGATGCCCACAAGGCCTACGGCCAACCCCAGGGCACAGACCACAGTCTCTGTCAGCTCTGACATAGGAGTTGGAATTTCAGGTTCTGTGAAAGTGAAGTTATGGAAGTGAGAATACAGAGTGTTCCTGTGCATGTACATGGTATGCAGTGGTCTGTGGTTTGGTTCTGCAAAGACTTGGGGCAATGAGTTTTGGCAGGAGAGTGAAGCCTGTAATTGGGAACCCTTGAACTATGGAAAACAAACTTTAGGCATGAGATTTAGGAGATAAAAGACAGGATATTGTGGACTTGACAGAGAAAAGAAGGTATCAAAGGAGTGGAACTCATACATACCCCAGTGTTTCAGAAGTGGTTCGTCCAGGCCCCAGTGCTCCACCTTGCAGTCATAAATATCGTCAGCAGAAGGGAGGAATGTGAGGTAACTGATCTTGAAGAAGGAATAATCATTCTTGATGAGGAAACTGGTCTCAGAAACACCTTCTGTGACTGAGTGCCCATTCTTCAACCATGTGATATTGATCACAGGAGGAAAGATGTTGTCCGCAAGACAGATGAGGGTGTTGGGCTGATCCAGCATCATGGGAGACTTGGGAAACACAGTCACCTCAGGAACCTCTATGATGAGGAAACAGTGCTGGTATGAATTGAGAATAACTTTGCCCTGAGATTCCACATTGCATCTTGGAGGAGCCCTTCCACCAACACTTCCCCGTCTGTTAGTAGAAGAATTCTTGTTTCCCTTCTGCTCGGAAAACAATACACACTTCCTGCACTGTGTTCCTGTGCCCTTCTCTCTGTGGATGAGCTTGTTAAGGTAGGAGGTCTACGCGGCCCTCTTTGAAGGATTCAAGGATTGTGTTATGGGAGTAAGGATCCTTGTATTACATGGGAATATGTGATTTTTGAGATAGGAGAGGATGAGGGTTCAGTAATTACTGTGAGAAGATCTGATTACTCCTAGGAAAGGAGAGAATTTTATAGAATAGTGCAGGGTGTCTATCCCCAGGGAAGAAGGAAGTGAAGCCTGGTATGAAGAGATAGATTCACTAAAGAGAGGCAGAAAGATGGACACATACCATTGGTAGCAGGAGTAGAATTGCTGCGTTTCATCATGACATCCAAGTGCTCTTTTATGATAGCAATGGTTTCCAGGGCACCCTGTGGGTCAAAACTTGAAAACTTGCTAAACTCAGGCAGCCTCCAGATGGTCTCCTTCTTCTCCAAGTCCACGTAGAACGTCTCATCTCCATCAAATTCAAAATTGTACTGGCCAGAGGGACCAGACGACTCGTACATGGTTATGCCATAGGAGCCAATGTGGTCAGCTGATGAGCGAGGGTGAGGAGCAGGAAAGTGGAAAACAGAGGGAGAGAAAAGAACCTTATTAAGCAAAGTGACAGAAGAAACGACTTTCAAATATTGTGGGCTTTATATTTGACAGGTCTCTAGGCAAAATTCCCAGCCCCTGCTTCCTTTCCCCTCAGTGCTGGTAGTTGTTCAGTTAGAATCCAGTCTGTTTTTCCACTATAAAGTATGCTTCATGAGGGCAGAATTTCACAGGCCATGTTTACTGCTACTCCCTCAATGCCTAGCTCAGCGCCTGGCACATCCTAGGCTTATGATAAAGATTGTAACAGAAAGAAAGAAGAAATGAATTTATTATTGTGCTATTGGCTTTCTGCCCCAGAGATTCAGTTTACTTTCCTCTCCTTCATAAGTTTTACCTCTCACTTAGTTCTTTCATCAGTTAATGACATTCACTCTGATTCCTCTTCTCTCAGGACTGGCTCAGAGCAGAACATTTTCTATACAAAGATTTCTTCCTATTTTTCTTTTACCAAGGAAAAGCACATAGGACCTTATTATTTTAAAAGAATTTCCTCTAACTATCATAGGGTGTAAGAAAGATTTTGACAATGACAGCAACAATATTACAAAATATATAAAAAATAAACAATGCTTCTCAGTTCTCTGTTTTGTTAACAGTGGTGATCCTTAAAGGAGAGAACCTGATTCCTTCTGAAATAAAAAATGGAAGCTTTATTAGATTTTGGATTTCTGTTATTCCTCACCCTTATTTTTTTCTTGTTGTTGAAGGAGGTTACTAAATCTCTCCTTTTTTTGACTCAACGCTTATATTCCTTAAGGACTCAAGGTAAACTATGGCCCTTTCCCTCAAATGGAAGATGTGCTTCTTCAAGGGTGCCAAAGCAGAATGGCAGCTAGTACAGTATAATTTGACCCCAAATGATCCTAACTGGATAATGTTGTGAAGATATACATGAGATTTTTATCATTTCTTGTTTCTTTCCTCCCTCGTTTACTGAGCATCAATAAGTATTCAGCCATCGCGAGGAGCAGGGAGTAAAACACCAACCAGGCATAGTCTCTGCCCTCGAGGAGCTTGTTGAACAGTGAGAGATTCAGGTGGGTAAAGGAGCCAATAGAGTATACTTTCGTGAGTCCTGTAATAGGAAAATCGACAGCCTTGTATTCCAGCATCCTCTGCAACTACCACCTCTGCCAATCAAAGCAAACTATATACCCTTTCATGTTCCTTGGTCTTTGCAAGGGTCTCATTTCTCCCTGAAATGAAATTATCTTTCAGGATTTCCCAGACAAATCCAGTTCATTTTTGAAGTTTCTGCTTAGTTACCAACTTTTCAGCTAAGTTCTCTTGTTAAACATGTTTTTGATCACATTATGACTTCCAACCCTTCCATCCCAATGTCCTGCTCTCCAAGTTTGTCTATTCCTCACCCAGCTCACTCTCTTCCCTATGTAGCATGACTCCTTCAGTTGATCATTTAAAAGGCTCTCCAACAAAGCCTCCTTATCCTTGCAATGAATTTTCTTGACTCCTTTTTCAAACATGAATATATGCGATTATTCTTTTCATCTGGCACTTGTCCTGGGCTGCCAACTGTTGATGAACATCACACTGCTGGGCCAAGTGGAACCAATTCACTTTTATACTTTTAGCCTCAACTGGGCCCACTGTCCTGCTCGGCAATGACCCTTATGCTTTCCTGAACCATATTCTTTCTCTCACTAATCTGAGCACCCTCTAGGAGGCAGGCAACATGTCTTTTCATTTTTGAATCCCCAAAACTTAGCTCACTGTGTGCTTAAAAATGGGTATAGAATGTCAGTTGCTATTCTTGAGGATCACAGAGATTTCAGGGAAGACTGACAGACACATGAAATTCAAAATCAGTGGTGACCAGAGCTGCATCATGACTTGTAAGCCCTAAGTACTCTTGCTTTTGTGGGCCCCTTCTTCCATAAAAATATTAACAATCATATTTTATGATTGTGTTGGTATAAAGACAAATATAATTCAGGCTGGATTAAAAATTAAAATATTTTCTTCTACTCTAAAAGTTTATTTTTTTGCTTAATTTTAAAAGAAATTAAAACATGTTCATGGAGCCCTACAAGTATCACAGGCCCGTGACACTGTGCCCCTGTTCCTAATGGATAAGTCAAGCCTGAGCAGGGCACTATGGTCTGACATTGAAGAGAGGAAATTTGCAAGTTCTCTGGAGAAGCAGGTGAAACTTCCACTACTAATTAAAAGGAGAATTGGAGCAGCCATGGTTAATAAAGTTGCTGAAAATTTAAGTAACTTCCATTTCACTTCCCCTTTTAACTATTTGGCTTTTCTACTTTGGTTTTTATAAACTCACTCTTCATGTTTATAAAACAACAGGGAAAAGAGCCAGGAATGGATCCTGAAAGGAAAAGTGGATAAAAGAATGTATGAAGAGAGGGTGGAAAAAGGTGGACACCAAAGGTAGAGGGGCTTAAGGGACCAAATAATTACCCTGTGCTTACCCAATTTTCCTCTTATAGGTCTTCATTATATGAAGTGGAAGATGGGTAATTTGAGCTGATGATTTGAGAATAACTTAATTCACCAAGTTTTTCATCATAAAGTTCTCAATTTTAATATAAAAATAAAAATAAATATATTTCTTTCTTTGATAAAGAAAAAGATGAAACTACACTTATAATAGTAATAATAAAAAATAAGAATAACCATTGACATTTATGTCTTCATTATTTAGAAAGAACATCTACATACTTATTGTATTTGATTATGTGTGAAGTGACACATATCTGAGACTAAGTGAGGACCATGTGGTAAAATGATTTGTCTAAAGGCATTCAGCTGGGCTCTCTTACCCACTCCCCGCCTGTGCCAGTTCCCAGCATAGAAATGTATGTAAATCTGAGACAAAGAAAAGTCACCCTTCCTTATATCTACATAGAATATGTAATTCATAGAACTATTTACTCCACAATAAACTATAGGAGAATCTATAAACTATATATAAACTATAACTATATATAAACTATATATATAAACTATGTATAGGAGAAATATATAAAAAGCTTCAAAAGTTGTTCAGAGAAATTTGGGAGCAAATGTTGAAGAAACTTTAGTAAGAAAACATACACTCGTGAAAACATCCCTAGTCTTTGAGGCAATCATGAATGAATGCCATAGAGCCCTCCAGGCTATATTCACTGGCTCCAACAACAGGAACAGAATAATGCCTTGGTGAACTCTGCAACAGCACAGGTAGCTAGGAGAGTGGGTTGGGACTCTACTTTCCTGAAGGAAGAACAACCATAAGTTTTAGATCTGCTTAATGTTGAGAACGCCTTTAAAGAGTCTCTACTATTTCTGTGCCAAGCTTTTGTCTCTCTACCAATTCCCTGTTTCCCAAGTCCAGTCTCCACATCCCTCAACTGAACACTCACCCACAATGTCTTCACCTCCACAGGAGCTCATCATGGTGGTCAGGGTGAGGGCCCCCAGAATCAGAGCTCTGTTTAGGATCATCCTCTTCTCAGGGTGGTCTCAGCAGTTGCTGTTCTGAGTTGTAGAGCAATGGAGAGGACCGAGCTGAGAAGGAACTCTAAAGACACCCAAACCAAATCCTGACAGATCAGGTTCTGGCCAATCAGAAAAATCTCCTATGATGACACCTCAGTTGCTAGTTGAAGACTTTGTACTAAGAGGCCTGGAACGGATGGGGAAATCCCCTGGTTCTGATGTAGCCTGCACTCAGAGAGGACCTGAGAGACTTTTCTATGAAAGGAGAGAGAGTATTAAATCAGAATCTTCTCACATGTGTATATGCTTGCTGGCGGCAAGAGAGGTGGAAATTTCTGAGCAGTCTCATGGGTAGATGAGGTCACCACAAAAATGGTGTCCTTCAGGATTTTCTGGGTTATAATCTCCAAGAATTTTCCCCTGAGATGATTCCCCTCCCAAGCCCTTCCTATACCCTCTCCTTCCCTGGCCTCCATATGTGGGTAAGCTGTCTTTTTTTTTGCTTCCATAGTGCATATGGAATTCTCTAAATTTGAGTTGACCCACTCACCAAAGAGACCTCTGCTGGCGGTAGCCAAGGAATACCTTTGCCTTTTCTATTCAGATAAATCCAGTTGAGTAAGTTCTTCTCATGCTCTCAAAAGCTCCAATATTTGCACCTGGGGCAATGTAAGGACTTATAATATCATGTAGTGTTGCCTACAGTAACTACATCATCTTTCATCTGAATTTTTTCCCTGCCTTGAGTATTCTTTATTCTCTGTGTTTTGGTGCTGCCTTGCTACATTGAAAGGAAATTAGGAGACATTAATTACATTAAAGAAAGCTCTGGATGACTCCTTCTACGATTTTGGTGTTTTTTTGTTTTTTTTTTGATTTAAGAATGTCAAGTCAAATGTTGAGGGTCGAATCAGGGAAATTGCCGTGACTCAGAAAATTGGTTTCTTCCTTTAACCTACTGGATCTTTTATGCTCTTTCTCCTGTCACATTAAAATTCCAGATATTTTTGAAGGACTAGGGATTGACCTGAAGTCAAAGGCAGTCATTACAGAGAGACATTATTTTCAGAAGAATATGTTTTCTGTATGTTATAGCAGCCACAAATTAATAGGGATTCCATTTAGAATCAATTACCCTGTCCCTGTTAGATGGTCCTCAGTTTCTCAGCACTCTGTCTTACCTCATGATGACAGAGACTGTAAAGGATGAGACAGAAAAAGCCCTGGCATCCAAGAGCTTGCTGCTACTATTAACTAGGCATTGGTGATGCCAGGAGCTGGCCTGGTACTCACAGCTAAGTTTTGGTGTTTTCCTGGTGGACATAAACAATTTCATAGAACAGCAGTATCAGACAGCCACATTGTGACCACAATGGATCAAGACAGAAAACAAGGCCACTCAGTAATCACGTCTGAACACAGACAAAAGTGAACATTGTCCAAACCACAAAAATGGCTGAGCACACCTCTCTCCTAGATAATATGAATGACTGCTGCTTCTTTACCATCCAAAGCTTTAGTCTCAGTATAGTCTTCCTTCCTTCTAGGTAGGCTTTACTAAGATGTTCAATTATAGAATTATCCCACACCACCACCCAATCTCTGACAGAATCCAATTAAGGGCAAAGTGCCTCTATCTTAAATCATCCTCAAAATCACCTAACACAAGCACAAACCCTAAAATATTTAATGGTCAATTTTATGTGTTGGCTAGGCCTCAGTTATTCAATCAAACTTTAATCTAGATGTAGCTCTGAAGATATTTTATAGATGTGATTCAAGTCCATAATCAGTTGACTTTAAGTGGGAGAGGTTATCCTAGATAATCTGGGTGAGCCAGATCCAATTAGCTGAAAGTTTTAAGAGCAGAGCTGAGGCTTCCTTGAGGGAGAGAAGATTTCACAGGGGCTGCAGCTTCAGCCCCTGCTGAGAGTTCCAGCCTGCCTTTCCTGACAATGGCCTGCCCTATGGATCTTGGACTTACTGAGTCCACCCTGACTATTGTGTAAACTAATTTTGCAATAATTCTCTTAATAGACATTTCCTACTGGTTTTGATTATTTGGTTCCTACCCCCTCTTCCTGAGGTGCCCCATGATTCCCCATGGTGAGTTTTCTTTCTCACTGCAATGAACAATAAAACCAACATGCGCATTAATGAGTGTGCTCCTGATGGTCTTTGGCTAGAGGCATTGCAACAACAAGTTAGGTGTTGGTGAGGAATAATGATAAACTGCAATTGGAATGAAAAATTCCTAGGTCTATTATCCAACTTTCTCCCTGTGGCAGTGCAGGCATGTAGGAGCTGGTGAGCTACAGAAGCACTCAGAAATCACTGGGAAAAAGAATTTCTTTGCAGAGTGTTGCATCAGTCCGATTTTTCTATGTAACAATCTACTCCCAAACTTAATGACTCAAACAATGATTCATTGTTTTCTGATGATTCTTTGAGACATCAAATTGTTCGAGGCCCAGTTGGTCAGTCTTTATATTCTACTCTGGGTTCAGATGTTCTCAAGTGGGCTCCCTCACATGTCTGTGGCCTCAATTGGTTCAGCTGGGACTGCTGGGCCTCTCTCTATGTGGGTTCATCATCCAGCAGGCTGACTGAAGCTTATTCACAGGTGCTGGAAGGCTCCCTAGGGCAAGAGAGAAAATGCAGGGCCTCTTGAATCTAACATAGAACTCACAACATCACTTCCATGACATTCTATTAGTCAAAATAAGTTACAGTACCAGCTCAAATCCAGAGGTGGGTTAACAGATTATTTTTCTTGATAGGATGAATTGCGAAGAACTTGTGAGTATTTTTGCAATTTGCCACAAATATCCTCTGGCTTTTGAGGGTATGTAAGTAAGTTGGGTGTGTGAGAGTTGCAGTGCCTCCATATTTAAAATGACTTCCACTCACTCACCTTCCTGTCACCATTTACTTTAACCCCATTGAAAGCACAGCACAGCTTTCTCAAGGGAGATTTGAACTGAGGTCTGTTGACTTACCATATGTACAAGGTGCTGTGATTTGTTCTCACAAAAGATCTTTCAGAGTTTTACAGATGAAAACACAGAAACTTGGAGAATTGTAAGTAACCTTCTTGTTGTCCCCAAGCACATTATTCTGATGCAAAGGCCTAGAACTGATATCCAGTCACATGTCCTCTCTCAATGATAAAGCTAATGAAGCAGATGAACCTTGCAAAGACAATGATTCTGTTTTTCATTTAATATCATTGCTACTGATTCTTTGCCACCACCAACTCCTACGTTATGAACTAGTTGCTTTTAATGACTCTCTTATGTAAACATTCTCTGATAATTTTCCGCTGAAAAATAAGCAAAGTTACCTCTATGTTCAGATCTGCTTTCACCATAGCTCAAGGAAACTTTTCTGCTAAACTGAACAGGTTCTTGATGAAGACTATGTGCCGAGGTCATAATATATAATAAATACTTGTTGCGTTAAGCGAAGCTCTTAATTTATCTGAATCAGGTTACAGCCTGACTGCCTGGAGACAGATGATGTTCAGCTGCAGTGGTGATTGGTTCTCTTACCAGGAATCCTCCAGTCTTAAAGTACTTATCACAAACGTTCGTTGTACAGAAATCTTAACTTAGCGTTAGTCAGGAAAACAGATGTAAAAGAATCTTAAATAAAAAGCTTAAAAGCAATTGATTATTTTAAATTAAATATTTTTAACCAAATGTCAATGTATATATTTAAAGCATTTTACTGGGAAAATGTTAAACTGTGATTTAACCAGAACTTTGAAAATACAAATGGTAACAAACATAGAATTCTAATCTTTCAATAACTGGAATACTAGAGCAAAGCAATCCACATATATGTGAAGTTGGGAAATTTTGAAAAATACTTCAAACAAAAGAAATATCATAAAATTGTGTATAAAATAATAGAAGTTTATTATAAATCATGCTTGCTGGAGAATTTCTCCAAAACTATCCCATTACAAAAAATATTTATATATATATAACATTTTCTTTATCTATTCATCCATGGATGGACATATAGGGTGCCTCCATGTCTTGGCTATTTTAAATAATGCTGCAATGAACATGGAAGTGCATAAATCTTTTCACATTAGTGTTTGTTTTCTTTGAATAAATACTCAGGAGAGGAATTGCTGGATCCTATGGTAGTTTTATTTTTAATTTTTTGGGAAAATCTATACTATTTTCCATAGTGGCTGTACAAATTTCCATTCCCTCCAACAGTGCACTAGAGTTCCCTTTTCTCTGCATCTTTGTCAACACTTGTTATTTCTTGTCTTTTTGATGATAGCCATTCTAACAAGTGTGAGGTGATATCTCTTTGTGGTTTTGGTTTGCATTTCCTCGATGATTAGTGATGTTGAGCACCTTTTCATGTACCTATTGGCCATCTCTATGTCTTCTTTGGAAAAATGTCTATTTAGATCCTCTGCCCATTTTTTAATTGGATTGTTTGTTTTTTCACTATTGAGTTGTATAAGTTCTTTATATATTTTAGACAATAATCCCTTATCAGATATGTGATTTGAAAGTATTTTTTCCCATTTATTAGGTTGCCTTTTCTTTTTGTTTATGGTTTCCTTTGTTGTACAGAAGGTTTATAGTAAGATGTAGTCCCACTTGTTTATTTTTGGTTTTGGTGTCAAATCCAAAAAATCATTACTATATTTTCTTCTAGGAGTTTTATGTTATCAGGTCTCATGTTCAAGTCTTTAATCTATTTTGAGTTACTTTTTGTGTGTAGTGTAAAATAGTGGTTCAGTTTCAGTTTTTTGCATGTGGCTGCCCAGTGTTCCCAACAACACTTATTGAAGAGACAGTCCTTTCCACATTGTATATTCTTGGATCCTTTGTCATAACTTAATTGATCATATATGCATGTGTTTATTTCTAGGCTCTCTATTCTTTTCTGTTGATCAATGTGTCTGTTTTTATGCCAATACCATACTTTTTTGATTACTATAGCTTTGGAATGTATATTGAAATCAGGAAGCATGATGCCTCCAGCTTCGTTCTTATTTCACAGGATGGCTTTAGCTATTAGGGGTCTTATGTGGTTCCATACGAATTTTAGGA